AAATCCCCAGAGAAAAAAATGATAGAAAATCAAATTCAGTATTAAGGCGTTTCTGGAAAGCTTTAAAACTAGAACAGTTTACAAAGGACATTTGAAGGATAACAATTGTACAGGGGGTGGTTAAGAATCCCCAAAGATTAAATAAGATGCATTTCTCTTCTGATAAAGTCTATTCTAGGGATGGAAGCAGGTTTTCCCACAAAGTTCTCCACCAGCAACCTGGTGGGATCAATGAGAAGATGACAGATGTGGCTACAGTCAGGAGGCAGACCCAGAGCCTGCCTGACTCAGGGAACCAACAAGTGCAATGGGAACAGGAGAAGCCCTCTGCCTCCTTAGCCCAGTGCAGGGTCAGGCAACTGGAGCCAACACCTGTAAGTGTATCAAGAATAAAAGAATACAAAAAGACCCCGTGTAAAATCCCCCAAGTACAAAATGATTCCAAAGGGGTAAGTAAAACTGAAAAAGAGCTAACCAAATTAATGCCTCGTACCCATGCTATGGTACCTAACAAGGATCTATGGAGAAAACAGTTAATACGAATGGACAAAACCTTTCCATGCTGTGTGAGACCTTGTCTATGAGTGATTTAATATATAATTTTAACATTGCTCCAAGTGTTTTACAGATGTGAAACCCACTTGAAAGATACCTGAAGAAGCAAAGGCCAGCTATAGCTGTAAGATTCTTGGGAGTTTTATGTAGGTTGGGTAAGATGAGGATAGAGACTCCCAAACTATACCACTGTTAAGAAAATCTACAGTACCAGGGGTGGGTTGCCCCCGCATGAGCTGTTGGTCAGCAAGGTCCTCCAATTCACCAAGGCTATTGCCATTAATGTTGGTTGTACACTAGAAAGGTCAGTAAGGCCGTGTTGCTGAGGACACTGCATGTTGTAAGCATGGGAGAAGAAGAGATGGAACTGAGACTAAGCCAAAAAGAAAAAAAACTCCGTGCCACTGGATGGATGACATTCACATTGATGAGGATGGTTGGGGAAGAAAGGATCCCCTATAATTCTACTCAGTGATGGACCCCACGTGCTGCACACTATGGACATACCAAGCAATACCTGGAAGTGCAATAATGGCTCAACCAACACAAGTACAGCTGACAAATTTCTAATTGGATAAGGCCTGCTTCTAGGGGTGAAATACACATCTGGTGCTGTAGACCAGGCCAACACCTTTTGTCAAGACAGGCTACAGGCCCTAGTGGAGAAGCAATCATGAGTATATTGTTTAATGAGTATAGTACACCTACTGGGATATCTTCTAGGCATTTGTATTTACATTCATGTTTGTTTAAATGTGTCTACTTCCTTCCATTTGTCTTTATAGTAAAAGAAACACCACTGAGATAGATCAGTGACCACAGCCTAAAGACAACTAATGGGGAGGCCCAAGAAGCCACTATCTCGCCATGATACAAGAGAGATTGCCCTACATCTCTCACTCCCTTCAAGGCTCAGTGACTTTAGCTGAACATGGATAGGAAGATTGTAAGAGTGGAGGAAAGGGGTGGAGTGTCTCCCTATTGGCTAGTTCCTCCAATGGGCAGGGCCTGATGCAGAGTGTGGACTACGAAGGGGCTGCTGGGAGCCATTTTGGGATGGAAGCCACAAGCCACGGGTAGCACGCATGGTATGGTGGACATGCAGCCAGCCGCTCGGCAGCTCAGGGACAGAATGGACTGACTCTTCTAGACCTGGGGTAATCACTGGCCCCAGAAGCATGAGCAAATGCTAGTGGTGACTATGGGTGTAGCATGGTCTGATATGGTGGGTTCTGCGTCACTGTGAGGGGCTAGGCATTGGGTACTCATTCCTTTGTAAGTTAATAAACTCACATAAAATATATTATATGGTTTGTCTGATCATGGAGGAGACCCAGAAGGAATTTGGGCCACAAAATGCCATCTCTGTGGACCTGTGTAGAGGTAGAATATTGATAGGTAGAGAGCGGGAGAGAGTGAGCGGATGGATGGAGGAAGGCACCGAGGCACAGATGGAATTCTCAGCGGGATACAGATTTATTTTTCACGGGGCACCTTTCCCTCGGGGAAGGGAAAGATGTCAGCTAAGGGAAAGATGTCAGGGGAGGGAAGGGAAGGGAAGGGATGGGAAGGGAAAGATGTAAAGATGTCAGAGAAAGATGTCCGCCCACGGGTTGTGAGCTGGGACTTTATATATGGGGGCTTTAGGGTGTGGAAGGGGGGATGTTTGG